ATTATAACTAGAATAAAAAGAATTGTTTAAGTGAGAGTTTAAGTTTAAGGCGTTTGTGGTTTTATTTAATTAAATCAGAGTAGGCGTCAGCCCAAATGTGGGATGGAAAAGTCACTTCCTCAGAAATAAAATAGTCTACTAAATAATCTGTAAGCCGTTAACCTGGGTAAGATGAAATCGACAGCCACTAACCGTTGCGTTATCCCACACTTTATGAACAGCATTATGAGTGGCAATTTCAAAATCAACTACTATTCTTTCAGGATTGAAACATAAGCCATTAAGGGAGCATAAATGCTTAATTTTTTTTAAAACAATGCCTATATATCTCCTCCGATTTATTTTTTAATAAACTAAAAAGTAGAGGTATTTAATGTCCATTTAAGTAAACATGTATGGTGAATAATTGCGTAAAAAATTTAGTGCAGTATTGGAATGTTCCATCCATGTATATGGTTTAATAGTTTAAAACTAATACTAACAAAAAATAATTCGTTTCTAATCTTTAAAATGTCACAGATGGTGAGGCACTTAGATTAAAACAGGTATGCTTATTTGCAAAGCCCAAGAGCCATTATAAGGGCTGTGTGACGAATTTCACAAAACCTGAATTTTAATGCTAAATGGCTAGTTGCATATTTGAATATAACTTTTAATTTAAAATAACTTCTGTATTGTAAAAAATAATGGTACTTTACTCTTGAGTAAAATTCATATTTTTTGACAAATCTCGTATATGGATTAAAAAATTTGATATCTGATGGTTGAATTAAGTTTTGCACCATGCAAAACTTTTTATCAGGAATAAATTTTTCACAAAACCAATAATAAATAAGTTTTCCACGCATAGTTGTCAACTTATAGATGATTTAATTTAGCTGAAATCAGTTATGGACAAACTGTTGCCACAGAGACAGTTGTCATGGTAATGACTAAACAAACAATCTAAATTCAGTGGTAAGAAAATGCATAGTTGACAACTTATAGATAATTTAATTAAACTTCAGCTGAAATCAGTTACGGAACAACTGTTGCCTAAAGCCTTGGTTTCTTTGAACACTCCGTCGCGGTGAGCGGACAGTCCGTCGACCGCTGAGGACAGCAATTTTCGCCGGAGGTGGTTTGTTAAAAAATATAGAAAATGATACTTTCTCTATGTCTGTACGTGCTGTTTATGTATTATGAATGTAAACGAAAGGTACTAAAATGGTTGCAAATAAATTGTTTGCGTTATTATTGTTGGAAGAGGAAGAACAAGAGGAACTGGTAATTGCAACCTTCAAAGTTTCCAATAAGCCAGTGAATGAGTTGTTTTTCTGTCGCGATACAGAAGATGCCTTTAATATTTAATATCACTGTGCAGCGGAGGCTTTTTGGAAATGAAACCAAATTTAAGGAGTATTTTAGACTTTCTACAGATCTTTTTGAATTCGTGTTGAGTTTTATAAAGGACATAATTTCCAAGAAACCTAAAAATAAAGTCATGATGTCATCTGTATGTGTGAATTTGTCACTCATTGTTTTAAAATTAATAACAGTATAGTCTCCACACACGCCGACGATTCCGCTGATATCAAACTCAACAGATATCAACCGACTCTTCGCGACAAATCAGCGGCATGACGCCGTCCTGTTCACCTAAGCGGATTCAAGCAAACCATTCCCATTTAAATACTCTGGTTGGATAAAATCGTCAAAACGCGACGGTTGACGACTGTCCGCTCACCGCGACGAAGTGTTCAAAGAAACCAAGGCTTTAGGGACACTTGTCATTGAAACAACTAAACAAAATCTCGAATTGAAAAAATGCATACTTGCCAAATTATAGATGGTATTGTAACGTTTGTTTATAGTTTATTTATTTAAAACACACTATTTACAATTTATTTATTTAAAACACTATTTACAATTTATTTATTTAAAACACACTATTTACAATTTATTTATGATGTACTAATGAATTTATATAATATACAGGGTGTTAAAAAAAAAGTGTCACAAAATGAAATGGTGAATAGTATGACCCAAAATAAGCAGAAAAGTCTTTATAAATATATGACCGCAAATTAATGGTTTCGGAGATACGGACCATTTTGTGTTTATAACAATTTTTTATTATTATAAAAAAACAATGATATATATAAACAATCAATAACAACATAGAGTTAAATGAGATGTTCAAAGTGCCCTCCCTCCATTTCAATGCATTGCCATTTGCACGACCGTACATAAAATGCATGTCAGCTAATTCAATATTAGTGTAAACAGGCATAACGAAAATTTATAAAATTATTCACCCACAACAAAATAATAACTGCAAATAGTATCTATGAAAAAACATCGGTAGACTCCGATAAGAAGAGCAAGTTTTTGAGAATGAAAAAAGATAATCAAAAAATGATACAAAACACAAAACACTCCGTATCTCTGAAACCATTCATTTGCGGACATATGTTTATTAGGACTTTTCTGCATATTTTGGCCCATACTAACCCCCGTTTTATTTTGTGACACTTTTTTTTTAACACCCTGTATACAAAGCACAGCTGTGTACGAGTAGTTTCTAGACGATGTCGAATGCCCCAGAATTTCATCTCTATGACTCAACGGCCACGTACCGCTTTTTCTGGTAGTTTCGATAAGCGATGCGTTTGTCTCAGCGCTAGACGTCGTAACGCGGGCAAGGAGTAAACAAAGCACAGGGTAGGCTTTTGCGCGACAGTATAATCTAACTTTCGTTTAGCTGAAAGTCATTTTTCATGCAAGCCACGTAATTACTACCTTGCATGAGAATTGCCTTCTACATATTACTTTCATTTTATATTGAAATTATATTGTACTAAGTAATTAAAATGGTTGTAATGTTTAAATTTTTTTAATAATAATACTTTTAGATAAACTTGTAAGTACATTGTAAACTTCAAAATATTTTTTAATTATAGCTTCAATAAATATTCATCTTTCTGTATAAAAGTAATTAAAAAAATATCATGTCATAGTCTGGATCGACGTGAATATGATGCCCCACCCTGTATGTGTTACAAATGGCTTTATATTCATTCTAATGTAAATTGGGTAACAATATTTATTTATTATATTATTGTTTGTCCATTGCCTTGGTCTCGAACCATTGGACTCGGTCCTTTGGAGAGCATACGTAGGGCCGTGTAATCAACTCGTAGAGGCCCTTTCGTAAGGGATACACGTGGCGGATAAAATTCTCGACAGCATCATATAATATATCCGAATATTATAATTGTTTTTATATTACCAAGAAGTAATAATTACTATTATTTGCCTGTAATAAGTACTACAATATCAGAATATAAGCTTTGGCCTATCGTGAAATTAGTTACATTTAGGTTGATATAACTCGGAATGGACAAGGGCCGTAATGAAGAGAAATGTTCTCCTGAAAAATATCTTTCAATTGGTATATAACTTATCCTTATTGGGTGTGGGGAAATTTCCCATACATTTCTGCTCATTGTCCTTTGCTCTTGCACAGGCGTGTACAACTCAGATTCTCAAAGGACCAGATTTGAAAAACCGTAACTGTACAAGGGCCGCCAAGAGAGACCTGGTCGGTTCAGATTTCTAAAAAAAAAAAAAATACAAGGTCCTCACGTTATAATTCTGCCAAGCTTTCCTAAAAAAAAAGGTCATCAGCTTATAATGTATACCCATCCTGATCGTCTAAAAAAACCAGGTCTAAATGCAAGTTTGTTACTTACTGAAAAATGTAATTTGACGTAGGCGGACCAAACTAGTCAACGGCCAACGGGCCGCCGAAACGACACTGGCGGGCCGTATGTTGTGCACCCCTGCTCTTGCATTACAAAATATTACTCTCAATTACACTGCATTACTGGTACAAATTGCTAACTAGTGGATGACCCCTCGTCGTAACCGGTTGACATCAAGTTAATTTTGTTTTAAAATTTTGCAATATTCTTAAAGTCAAATCTTTGTCAATTTTCAATTATTTTTAAAAGGCAGAATCTTGCAGGACACCCAGTGTCTTTAACGCCGAGCCGCCACTGCTCACTATATAAGTATATCACATGCCGATCTGAAAATCATCTCGGGTATCTACAAGATTGCGAGAACAGAGGCGTATGACGACCTTCGGAAAGATCGTCATAAAACGTTGGTCTTCCATGCCTGAATTTTCCGGTGTTCAACTGTATCGAAAATCATTAAAAACATTTACATTTTTTACACAATTAATTAACTGCTAATCCGCGTAAGACAGGTAAAAAAAAAGTGGAAAAAGCCGGTGTTGGAAAAAATCGGAATAAACAACCCTAGCTGTTTTTCTTTCAGGTTTTATTGTACGGGAAACATCTTGCTAGTTTACCGCATTGTACATGCACACAGCTGACATAAGAATATGTCGATAAATGCCACTGACCCCTAGACTAGACCGCATAGGGTTGAGAACCTCTGGTTCGGCGTAAAAATAATTTTTTAAATGAAAGGGTGTGATTTTTATTTATAGAACAGACATTTAAAAATAGTCATACCTACCTAAAATATGTTAACACATTTTCCTGTTTTCAAATTAACTACTTAAACAAATGAAAAATGAAGATAGAATTTTAAAATATTGATTATTGCACCTAATCATAGAATTTTAGTATAACGATTGTTCAATATGAAAAGTATTGAATTAAAACCTTTTAATCTAAGCATTATTATAACAATTACACTTGATTTTTGGCCGATATAAACGTAATAAACTTTGAAATTACAATTTATTCATCGTACCTCTACTTCTAATTCTATACCGCTATTTATTTAACACAATAAAAAATTCATAACCAAATTTTCTAGACTCTTTCTAGGCATGTACGAGTATCGATTATGTTTACGAAAAGATTTAAATGGTTTAAATGCCCACAACATAAACCATACCACAATAGCTAATAACAAATTGTTAAATCAACAAACGGTCTAGGAGCGGTAAATAAATAATTATGCGTAAAAGAGGTACTTACTTGCAAATGAATAGGTACTTTTTTCACGGGAGTACTCATCTTTTCTTTCTTCACGCTCAGGTACTAAAAATGTATTTCACTGAGAATTAAGGAAGCACTTTTAATTGTCCTTAATTAGCTAATTAAGCTTATTTATAAGTGCGAAATATTTAGCTGAATTTAACTTGTTGATAAAAATGCGTATTCTATAACAACCGGTAGTTATTGCAATTATAATTTATTTAATAATACTATAACTAACTACTTTTCATAAGATTTAGACTAAAATTGTTTCATTTTATTGACTTATCACTACTATTTTCCGCCTGAACCCACCTCAAAAATAGCCGACAGCCGATCACAACAGCGGATTCCCAAATTAAAATCGTTTTGATCCCTTCCTTCCCCCTTCCTTCCTTTTCTTCCCATAATCAATTCCTTCCTGGTCTTTTACATCAGATTCAACAGTTTTAGACTGTTTTTCCCCATAAAAGAAGATCATATTTCAAATCACAATTTTATTTAACATTTTTTTATTTAAAAAATATAAACTAAAAACCAATTAGAATTTTTAAACTTCTCAGATTTTACTTTCTTGAACAGAATCAAAACTGCGAAAATTGCAAATTCTGCATGGATGCAGGCCAGAACTAGAATAGGAGGAAATATTGGCCTTTCAGGATGTTGTTATTCGGCGAGGCTTGACGAAAGCATAACCCTACTTTTTAAAATTACAAAAAATTGAACATACGATGCCCTACAAATATATCGGTAGGACAACTGATTTTAAAGGAAAATCGTTATGGGAAATCGTAGGGAATCTAAAAAATTTCGGTGTTGGAAGGATGGTAGTCAGAAGTCGATTTGAGAGGTATCCAGAAAAGAGTTACATGAAGATTCTCAAAGTAGAGACACTTCCCAATCCAGAAAAACCCTCTATTGATGTGAGTAAAGGATTTTAATTTTTTTATTGCGAATAGTGTATTTTGAACATATATATTTTATTGCAGGATATGAGATTTGTTAAAGTGTGGGTAGAGAGCACTTTTAGAGGTAAAACTTTCCCAGAACCAATAGTTATAGAACGAACAAGTTACAAAACAGATTTTCGATTAATTCCAAAGGACGAAGAGCAAGAATACTGCAAATCACCCGTGTTTGATTGTACAAAAATTGTACCAAAAACAATGGAATTTCCTCCTCTACTGAAAGAGTTGTTAATAAGAAATGCCAAAGCAAAAGGTAATAGTTTGGAGGAGGAGATCAAATTGGAGATATTTTACAATAAGCAAAGTTTAAATACGAGTTATAAAATAGCTAAAGATGGTGAAAAACCTACTGTTGAAATTGTCAGTGGTTTAGGTAAACCTGTATCACCTCGTTTATATGAAGGGCTAAAGTGATATGTTAAGTAAAAACATGATTTGTAAATAGGTTAGTTTAAAATAAATATTAAAATAAAAATATTTTTTTCTTATTTAATAAATCATACAATATTTAGAAACCTTCATATATTTAATTCTTAAAGGTTACTCAATTACATCTAATTCAATAAAAAACCAATTTAAAATTTTAACAATAATATTAAACTCCATATGAATGAAAATGATTAATATAACTATTTTTTCTTAAAGAAATTCATCAAAGTAGGTTGATTTTGCAAATTATTCTTCTTTCCTTTCTTGTTTTTACCTTTTTTGGGGGAACCATCATTTTCTGATGAGGCACTCGTTTTCTTTTCTAATTTTGGTGCCTTAACTTCTTTTTCTTTCTTGGGTTCTTCAACGTCTTCAGGTGCAGATTCATAAACATATTCAGTTTTTGTTACTAAAAATAAAATATGCAATTAAAAACGGCTTTCTCATGTCTTTCAATTGGACTAGGAAAAGTTTATAATAAACATATATTTCTGGGTATATGTTTTCTTACCAATAAATCCATCTTCGTCCATGTATGTGTTATCAATGGCTTTTCGAATTTTATTTTTAGGTGCCAAAGGTTTACTGGCAACTGGAGATGGAATCCTTTCAGGCTCATCATCAGATTTTTCTACAATGTCCTCTTCATCATTTTCAAACATATCTATACATTAAAAAACGAATTTTAATTTAGATAAAATAACTTAACATAATTAAACATACCATCACTTTCTGAATCATTTCTTTGAACGATCCTCTTCCTCTTTTTAATAGACTTCTCTTCACTTTTCTCCCTCTGCCTCTTATTTTTATTTTGTTTTTCTTTCCCTTCTTGTTTCTTCTTCTCTTTTACTTCTTGTTTCTTCTTCTCTTTTACTTCTTGTTTCTTCTTCTCTTTTACTTCTTTTTTGTTCGTATCTTTCTGTTCAGACTTGTTCTCTTCCTCTTTCTTAATCTTCTTATCATCCACAGTTACTTCATCTAATTCTTCATAAAAATCAATTTCCATAAGTTCTTCAATTTCACTTGGTTCGCTGCTAATAGTTGTTGAAATAGTTTTTTCTTTTTTAATACCATTTTCACTCTTTATACTCGAACTGCTTGAACCTTTGGATAAAAATGTTGAAAGCCCTCCTTTATGTGATGGTTGCTTTGACGCGTTAGTTGTCTTTTTCTGGACAGTGTCTTTATCTTTAGGTAACTGGGTGGCTGCTGCTTTACCAAACAAACCAGCAATTCCATTTTGCTTTACCTAAAATTGCATTATAGTAGAAAGGGAAAAAGGTTACCTATATACTATAATACCTTAGATTCGGGTTTTTCTGATTTTTCTACAGAACTGGAACTATCAGTTTTTGACATGAAAAATGATGATTTTCCTTTAACAGTACTAGGTGGAGGAGTTGGAAGCTTTTTAACCTTTAATACTCTTTTAACACAATTTTTGCTTACTATAGAACCTAATCTAGAATCCAAAATATAAATTACAATAAGTAATTCAAGAATTAAACAATTATAGTTACTTACAATGGTTCTGTACATGGCTTAGTTACATCATCCACTAAAGCTATTACATCCAAATCAATCTGTTTGCATTTTTGTACGCTAAACAAAACTTCACTATCAATTTTATCAAATAATAACCGTTTGTCTTGAAGATCATCTTCCTTAATAAAAAATACACCACTTCCCTTATCTTTTACAATTCCTGTAAATATATATGTTGCTGCAAGTTCATTGGGTTTTAATGTTCGTTGGTCTTTTAAATATTTGGACAGTAATTTTTCGGAATCTTGTACTGCTATTTTTAAACTTTTTGATAAATAAGGGACTGTTACCTATAAACAAATACAACTTTATATCATTTGTCTTATTGAAGTGATCAGTTTTCTTACTATTTTATCTTCATCTTGAATAAGTTCTTCTATTTTTTGGAAATATAAATCTTCAGTTGCGCTATCCATTTTATTTTAATAATTTTATTTTGCTAAAACATTCTTTTAATTTGTTAAAAAAATAAAAAGCTACCGCCAAAACAGCAAATAGTGCCGTCAATGTCAGCTGTCACGCTGTCAGCTGCCAACTTTGAAGTGAATTTTTTTCTTCGTTTTTCTTAATACGTGTGGCTTTAACACTAATTTAGGCTAGGCATTAGGCTCTTTGATTAACTGTTATTTGTTACAGAATTGTATTTTATAAAGCCTTCTTTACAAAAATAAACATTTTTATCAAATTTTCTTTCATTTAATACTCAAACAGATTTTAATTACTTTAATTAAATGCAAACATTTTTAATTTATGCAACATACAAAGCATCAGAGCTGTACTACGTGCTGCATATCTTCATATATGATTTATCCAGTTTAAAAATAATTTGATTGGTTTTTTGTATCACTGCAAATAATTGCCCCTCGTTTTTACAAGAAACGCAAATTACAAAACTGCCTTGATGAAGTACTTATTTACATATCGTGTCAAACTTTTCTGCAATTCTTCTCTAAAACAAGAACGTTGTCAATGTAGATCTTAGTTCCAGTTGTGATCAGTTTTAAATAGGTACTACTGAGTTTTTATGGTAATTTAAGTTTGTATGAAACCCCGTAGAGTAGTTTTTTTTGCCAGAGAGCTTCAGCTCAAGGCAGTAACTATTAACTATCTAAGTAGGTACAATCTTCTCTGGTTTCACTCCAGTATCACAAAGTTTGTTATTTAGGTATATTGAGGTTTCACTAAGGGTTTCCACAGTACCCCTTGATACTTACGTTTTAGTTTTTTCCTTAATAGATGGTAATCTGTAAAAAAAAACTAATTCAGACCCTGTAGGTGTAATCTTAATTAAGATGTATCACAAAAGTATAGCCTTCCACCTAAAAATAATTACATACCACGCCGCGTAGGTACCTATTAGATATTACTCACTTCCTCAACCGGGTACTACCTAGACTGAATAACTGACCTATGAACCCAGCGACTCGCATTTCATCCGTATAACTGGATTACCCGGAGTTATGGCGGAACAGGTGAAATAAATCTGGTCGCCGAGCTTGCTTGGAACTCAAAAAGCCCTCGGGCTGAAGGCGTCGCTACTCCATATCATATCGTTTGTTCTTTTTTCAGCCTGCTGGTAATTGTTCTGCTATGCGGACTGGCGCAGCAGGAGTAGGTTAAACAGTGGGAGGCTTAATTTATATTATTTATTGTAACATTCTGTTATTGATAGTTGTAGGAAATAAAAGCGCCCCCACTTGAAGTCGTAGTAAAATAAAGTGATTTATACTGTATATATAATTGTTTTTTTTTTAATGCAAAATCTGAGAGGCCCACAGTGCCAGTTCTCTACGTATATATGTATTGTAGATATAGGTGAAATATAGTATATACATATATAGTCATTCCTTAATTATTTTAATAAAGTCATTTGTGTCACGTTTTTGACCTCTCTAAGCCTGAAAACATAAACAAGTACTTATATCTTCTGATCATTTGTGCGCCGACACGATTACTCTAGAACGATTTTTTCTAAATGAATTCATAATTTTCGGTTGAACTTTAATGCTTTAAATATTAATGTTTTTAAAATGTAACGCATTTCTTATGGAGCTTATTTTATTCACTGCAACAAAGGTACTGGATTTCACTAGATATCCATTCTTGTCAACTGTGAAACTAGACAGTTTTTTTACACATTGCGATTCATAGTAATACGACTATGTTTACGAATTCTGCCTTGACTCTGTAGAAACAAGGAGACTGCAAAAATTGCAAAACTTTGTAACGTGATCTTGTTATTTTATCTGTTTATACTGTTTTAAGCTCTTATGATTTTGGGGAGTGGGTTAGGTTATTAAACAACTCGTATTACTTTGAAAAAGAATGTTGAGCGCCACTATATTTAAAACTTACTAAACTTGACTATCGATTAGTGATGAAAATATAGAAAATCACTAACCATTAAGATATTATAATTAAATAAGGTTTCAGATAAGGTAGCGACAAATTCTAATTCACAGAGACTTACTTATTCAAATTTAAATGATTTATTCAAGACTTATCTGTTAAATAATAGGTAGTATTTAAGGAGTGACTTTTAGAGGCTTTCTTCAAGGGGATTCGTATGATATACTTCGGATATCACCAACTCTTAAGTATAAATCTTCAAAGGTAAACTTAAATCTCATAAACTTCTTTAGATGACTCGAACTAAACCTCTTGATATACTTGAAATAAACTTCTGTAGCTGGAACTAAACTTCTAAGTTTCTATACTTCTAAACATCAAAACATGCAGCTTGAACTTTCTTCTAAACTTCTCTTTCTATATAACTCTTACAGAAGCATCTAGATACAGCCAGGCTTTTTAAAATCAGACGGTCATTAAAAATATTAAAGACAATTAGAACATCGGATGTCCAAGATAAAAGATAATTAAAAATAAATCAACTTGCTCGTTGACAGATATAAATCGAAAATGAATTACCAACTTTAGACATAGACAAGGCATAAACGACAATTGACATTTGTGTAGAGATGTTGGTTACAAAATAACGAAAACGGTTTCAACCGTTACAACTTACGAAATAATTTGACAGAATTTGAAAACGAGCTTATATAATGACTAAACATGCAAAATTGTAGAAAACCGCATGTTCTCTGCTTCTTTCTTAACATGTTATCGATCTACACATACTTAGAAGAAAATTAATTGGCAACTGTATGAATTTATATAATAATTTGTAAAGTAGTTAATTTAAAATTACCAAACTCAAAAAACATAAAAATATTCCCAATTTCTTCAGTCCGCAAATGAACAAAACTAGGTATTATTCTAAAACTAAAAAAACAACAACTGATCTTAGTCTTTGGCTCAGTAATTACAAGAGATCCATTTAGGTCGCAGTGAAAGGCTGTTATAAAAGCGACTGCAACAATAATCTATCAATATTTATAAAAATATCAGTGGCACATTATAAAATGTAACTTTAATGAATGACTTTAACGCAACACATTTAACAAGCAATAAGGGTACATTTCAAAAATACCAGTAATTAAATATGCAATACTGGCACAATATCCAATAATATGGGACCTCATTATAACATTTTAACATTCAATAGTGGCATAACTTTTTATGTTGTTTACCCTGCACTGGTACTGATACACTGTGTTATTTGCTGCGTTTGAGAATCCACATCGGATGCATCTGAGATGTAAAAAATCTTTGATCACGTGGTTCAGTATACGTAAATGTAATGGGACAGATGTGTCCGATGTGGATAAAAAAACGCTCGAGATGTAAAAAATGCATCCGATGTGGATTCTCAAACGCAGCACAAGTTAGTAGCTTTGTTTTGGTTCACATAAGCTTTGTTCGTAACTGTTCCAGAACTCTTTCAGAACCTTTGGAGCATGCGTAGTACCTAGCTATTCGCTATTTTGGTAAGTTCGGACAAACGCACTAAATTCAATAGTGGCACTAGCTCTATCTAGAGATACCAGAGTGACATACAGATGTGCCACTATTGTTCGTTGTTAATACAAAAATTGCGAGTGATACAATTATCTAAAAATGACAATTTTTCGAGATGTGCCATTATTGTACCCAGTGAGAGATAAATGTAAAAAAAAATGTTCTATTCTGTTTATTATTTTTCTTATTCATTCGTGTATATGTTTTTTAATAGTCTGTTTTTTTTTACTTTCAAGCTGACTTTTGACGAAGAATAATTTTTAACTGATCACTAGACCTTCTGATCTTTAGTTTTGTTTATATTGTAGTTTGTGTGTAAATCATTGTAAATGGTTAATAACATGAGGTTATTATTATTATTCTTAAAAGTAAAATAAACTATTTAACGTTATGTTTCTAAATTTGACATACAAAGTGACAAAAATTTCAAGTTGATATTATTGTTCGTTATTGATATTTGGCCTCTGACTATTCATGAACTGTATAAATAAGAAATTAGAAATACCTGTGCGATCCATAGGTCTTGGAGATGTAGATTTCTTAATCAACAGGCACGTCTAAATGGAAAGTCATGGAGTCAATTCTTCATTAATAGAGTCTAATGTGGCTATTATAAACCTAATAATAATTTTATATTACACTTCACACAGAAAATATGGTCTATGTATAATAAGAAGGTTATTTAGCTCAAATAAAATATTTTCTAACATAAAAATTTGTTCCATGTAGAGAATTTCAAATGAAAAATAAAAAAATTGAACTTGCCAACAAAAATGAAAATCAGTCATTATCATCCAAAATATCATAATCGTCATCATCATCATCACTGTCATCACCATTAATTGTTATTATGATTGGACTTATTTGGTTTATTTTATTTTCACGAGTCCACCAATCTTCTATTAGTTTCTCGCACTTGGATATACAGTTCCGCCACACTTCTGAAGTTGCAATTGAAAGTGCTTTTCGCCAAGTTTCCCGAACTGCGTCGTCACTATAACCATTATGCCCAATATGGTTGTTATAATATTGTTTTGCTCTTCCCCATATATATTCGATGGGATTAAACTGGCAATGATACGGTGGCAGACGTAAAACTTGATAACCGTAACTTTCAATAATCTGATCCACAACAAAGGTTTTTGGTTTTGCGTGTATATTTGCCAAGCGTAATAATTCTTATTTTAATATATATTGAGGAAATGGTATACGTTCCTTTGTCAACCATTCTTTAATTTTATCAACAGTCCAAGAATTCGTTGGACTTTTGTTTAATACTTTAGAATAGTAAGGTGCATTGTTTAAAATAATTACGCTGGGCTCACTTAAACCTGGGAGACGTTTTACATGCAACCATTTTACAAACATTTCTGTGTTCATATTATCGTGATAGTCACTGGATTTTGATTTAGATGAAAATATTAAATCAGCACCTTCTATAAAACCCGATTTCCCTCCTGCATGTAAAATTATGTGTCGCTTCCCTTCTTCATGTTATTTTAATTTAAATCTGACCATTAGGGCAATTTTACCTAATTTCTTGGAAAGGGGCTTATTGGAACTGGTTGTCAATGATTAATTTGCATAATTTTGTTAATCCAAAATCCGCGTAAGTATAGCG